CTCGGAGATGCACAAGAAGGCCATGTCATTTAATAGAAGTGGGAAGCAAAGAAAATCACGGCGTTCTCAAAAGCTGCAGATCACTGGGCTTCCATGAAAGTCCGAAAAATCAACATTACATAGAAATCACACAGCAGCAGATTCATTTAATCTTCTACATAAATTTGTTAAAAAATAAAGACACATTTTCATCCATGCAAGCCTGTCATTATTGTTTTCTTTATCTTCAGACAAATGCTAATGATATGTAAATTATATGCAAATTAGCCGCCACTCTGATACATTTTTCTGGGGAGAACACTGTGAGATGCAATGGGTGACGGCGGTCTTACTCAAGGTGTCAACTGGGGTGTCGAGTAGTGACCGTACTACTTCTCGACCGGTCCCATTTTGGTGAGCCTATAAAAAACTCGCTACAATGAGTTGAATTCATTATCTTATCTCTATTTCTCGATTGAGCAGCATGTCAAAGCGAAAGCTATCCAGCCTGTTCGTACGCCATAAACTCGCAGCGATTGACCGTGTCAAGAAGAGGTGAAACCAGGTTAAGGGTTGCACTTGATCTAGCAGTGGTTGAGCCCACTATTCGTGGGTGGGTAAAAAATGAAAAGTAAATTTGTTTTCAAATTGACCAAGAGGCGGACTGAACAAGAAAAACGTGCGAAATTGTCCGACGATGGTGACATCGATGAAGCTGTTTACGTTTCTTCAAGAACGGTCTGCAGGAACTCCACTCTCTGGTCCCATCACCCAATGGCAAAGAAGACACGCTATCGATACACGCAGTCTCAATGCAAGGCGAAGCTCGATCTGCGAACATGGACGCTGTCAGAACTTTTCCCGAAAAACTGAGAGAAATTATCTATGAAGGTGGTTATTTTGACGAACAAGTTTATAATTGCGATGAAACTGGTTTATTTTGGAAGCTGTTACCGTGAATTCGCAAGCAACAGCAAACAACCACATAATATCGGACACAAACAAAATAAACAACGCAATGTTTACAGCAAACATAGTCATGATTTTATTCAATACTGCCTGACACATGTGATGATACATCAATTAACTAAACCAAAGGTTTATATGTGCTTGTTATATGTTTTTCAATGCACGACCTCCCTCTTTCATGACGTCCCTCGGTAAATTGCGGCCCTCGATAAGTCACGGTTTTTGCTTGGATCCCAACACCCGCGGCTTACCGAGGGGCCACTGTATTGTTGTGCAAGTCTCACTAACAAAGTCTCAACTTCTACTTTCCACAGGATACAAAGTGCGTATTGGCACAGAAACAGATCCACCCAATATGGGGAGATTACATGTTGATTTTGCCCAGGCGAGAGATGACCTGTACGAGTGGGAGTGCTATCAGAGACAGCTTCAGCGTGAAGAGCGACACAGGCAGAGGATGGAAGAACAGCGACTACGTCCTCCTTCTCCCCAGCCTGTAGTACATTTCTCAGACCATGAAGCTGCTGTTATGGCAGAACAACTCAAAGGTATTCTTTTCATAGTGTAATTTAAAGTACTTGGTGTGTAGTGTATATTTGCTGGAAAAATGTAAATGTCAGTTCCATCAAAGTAGGTGGGAAGCATGTTGGACTCCAGATTGAGTCTTCGTCACATGATTAGAAGGACAAAGTTAACAAATATTAATTAACATTTAAAATTCAGGATTTTAAGAAGTGTTAGGTTTATATATTTTTAGTGTGTGTTGGGTTATTAGTTCCGCTTTCCGGTGAGTGTTGGGTTAGTATATTTTAGTATGTGTTGGATGAACAGTTCAGCATTCCAAAACGCTAGGTTAACATATTTTAGTATGACTGGTATTGTGTTTTGTGACAACCGTACAGTTTGTGTTTGGTTAACATAGTTCTGAATTCTAGGAAGTGTGTTACATTGAACATAATTCAGTTTATTCATTCAAGGGATTTTAGATTAACATATTTTAACATTTCAGCTGGTGAAACTGGTGCAGGTGATAGTTCTTTTGCTGCTGCTCTTGTTACCTTAGCAACATGGTTGGAGAGAGGCGACTGCAACAAGAGAACCGCCAACACGTTTTTCAGCATGATACAGACTACCCACAGGTTAGCGCTTATGTCATACAAAGATTTTGTTTGTTTCCACCTTGAGACATGTTTCAATATTCCAGTTGAACTTTTCATCTGCTGCATAGGCAGTCTTCTCACAGTAAGCATGCATCTGCCGTTCAATTTTGATATGAAATAATAACCATGTTACTTGTGTAAATTTTTTGCAGCCATGTGCGAAGACTAATGAACGACAAGCAACGCTATAATGAAGAGTTGGAACAGGCCAAGGAGTTGCACAGACAAAATCTAAATGGAATCATTGTACAATGTAAGTAGTAATGGATTGTTTTGGGTCCTACAGTCTGAAAAGTATTGGTTTGTATATAGAGTGAAGATTGTATCGTACTAATGGGTGAAGTTTGTCCTGTTTTGTTGAGTTGTTAAATCAGTAGTGTAATCAACACGGATAAATTGATAAGTCACATTTCTCATGACGTAGCATACACTGTGCAGATAGTTTAAGAGAATATGAATACATTATTGATTTTTTGGTGTTAGAATTGACCGCTAAGAATTGATCACGAAAAGGTAACAATTGGTTGAATTTACATGGCATGTGTAAACACAATTATAGTAGTAATCAGTAGACAGATAAATATCCCGTTAGTTTGCATTCTTAATTGACCTACCTATTGCATGGTCTGGATTGATTTGTGCCATATACAGTGAATGTATCTAGTAGACTGTGTGTGTGTGTGTCAGTATATTGAAAAAAGAATCTTCTTGCTCTCTGTTGAACTGTATATAAAACTGTTTACTCCCTCATCTCAGTTACAGTCAAAAATAGATTTCAACTAATCTATGTTTTCTCATTGTAACTAGCCTGCTACATTTACACACAAATTATGTTAGAATCTCACAGAATCATTAATAGTTTAATCAAACTATTATCGCAGCCACTATACTTAGTTTATAATTTGTTTAAACTTTCTAACAAACATTTATTTTTATGGCCACTTGTATTTAAAAAAAATAATTACCTCCAGTCGGTACCCTGGTATGTGTTTTGATAAGTGGTGCATGGTTGAGTTTGATTTACATGTATGAGTTGTTGCTGATCCCATGGTAAGTAAATGAGATCATAGTATTAAAGACACTGTTCCTTGGAATTGTATACTCTGTGTGTAAATATATATTCAGTAATTTTTAGGGCATTTATATCACATCACCATTCTGACTTACCTGAGGTATTTTCTAATTCAGGCTTCATTTTTCAAACATTTCAATTTTTGCTAATGCCTAAATTAGACTTCTATTTAAGAGTACAGTTTTTTAATGTGACTAGCGTGGTAAAGTCTGTTTCGACAAT